TGACACCAAAAAAAAAAAAAAAAAGGAGAAATTACATTATCAGGTTACTGGTTTTTTTGGTCATGGTAATTATGTCTGATAACTACAGCCATGTGTCCAGAGCATCCTGGTGAGCGTAGTCTGGTCCCCGTGCCCTGCTACTGGCCTGAGCCTACAGCAGACTACAGGTCCTGGCAAGCAGTGGGAGGGGGAGGGGGAGGGGGAGCTGGCAAAGAGCACCACACTCAGCAACAAAGGGACCACTACTGGCTTCTGCTGCTGCCGCTGCTGTCATGGCAATGCTGCACATGCAGCAGGGGCCTGAGCATCAGGGATGCTGTGGAGATATGCTGTGTGCAGGTAAGCGTAAGGTGTCATGCGAGGGACATTCTGCTCTGCCAGGCATGAGTCACCTTTGCAAAAGCAGCTTTTCCCCAGCAGCTGTGGGAGCTTGGCTCCACAGGGCCTGCCAGCACTGAGCAGTGGCATGCTTTGGGGCTCCAAACATTCCCAGGGATGCTGCTGTACAAGGGTCCAGCCAGCCTGCCTGGGACAGCAGCATGGGCTGTGCAGGGAATGGGGCTGCAGGTAGGAGCCATGGGTGAGGCTTAGGTGACATGTGTGGGAATAAGGCAGTTACTGCCTTCTTCAAGGGCCAGAGCAGGCAGGAGGCGCACGTGCATGCGCGTGTGTGTGAGAGATAAATGCAAAACAAACTATTTATGTCAGTAGTTTAAAATGCTTTGCATTATTATTAAATACAGGTTATTGGAGTGGTATTGGCTGATATGGTCAGTTAATCATCAGCTATCAGTATCAGCCAAGAACATCTTGATTGGTGCATCCCGTCACATTCCTAAGTTTTTGAACCCAAGACAAGACTTCTTGGTAGGTATCACATAACAAATAAAGGCAGAGAAATGCTGTGTTAGTCTGAAAGGTCAAGCAAAAAGTAAGTTGGGGTACCTTAGAAACTAACTGTTTCAGAGAGGCATGAGCTTTTGTAGGTGACCGTCTACTAGATTTGAACGAATGTGTTTCTCAGATGCCTCCCTGCCGTACCTTCTACCTATCAAACAAGTGTACACTACAAACACCTGTGTTCATTTGATCAAATATTCCATCAGCAGAAATGACTAGATGTAGTTCATGTAATCTACCAAATTATATTTAACATTGTGATCCCTTTTTAAAAGTCACAATATCAATATGTCTCCCTCTCCATTTCTAAAATTCAAAAGTGCTTTGGAAAAAATCTCACAGACTAAAGCTATTTATCAGTGTTCATCTCTGAATCCTTACCTGTAAAATACCAACTACAAATGTCAAGCCGCCTTGCAGGAAGTGGCCACCAACAAATACCCCAAAGGAAAAGCAGGCACCTAGCTGGCCATCAATCACCTCACCCACAAACCAGGGTCCTGGGAGGAGGAAAGCAATTAAGTAATAACAACAGTAAAAATAATATAGAAATGACCCCAGTTCACTAGTCGTAAGAATGAACTAATTAAGGTATTTGTAGTCTGTTTCAGACCGACATGACACAGTCTGAAAACCAGTAGAATAAACATTTGTTTCTCATATGAGCAAAGCATGCTGCTGCATTGATTAATGCCATCTGATTGCCATCAACCAAGAACATGATTATGTAAAAATTCTGATACCACACATGACATTTTGCTGCAAGCATAAGTGATGCATCCACTGAAACTATCCTTCTGCAACATAGACCTTCCACCAGGATTGCTCTACATTTGTGTGTTTGTCTTTCACATGTTGTTTTAAAACCTGTGCAAGTTACAAGTGAAAGTGGGCTTAGCCCTCTTGGTCTAGTGGCCTTCCAGAAGTCGCCACATAATTTGGTACCATTTTTCTAAAGACCAAACTGAAGAAGCAGTGTGCTTATAGATCAGAGCTGAAATGCCACAGAAGCTTCAACATGGAATCTACATACCATGGATTCATGTTATGCCAAGTTATAACCAGCCCTCTGTCTGTAACAGTGTTTATAGATGTGCTCTGGGAGAATGAGGGGCACTTTAAATGGAGCAGCTCCAAGAACCGCTCTAATTAAGGCACCTGGAGTGTCACGTGTATCAGCATCCCCGCGCTGAAAAATGGCGGCAGAGGCACTTTAACTAAAGCTTGAACGAGCTTTAGTTAAAGTACCCCCACTGCCATTTTTCAGCATGGAGACACTGATACAAGTGACGCTGGAGTCTGCTGGAGCAGACCATGTTCCAGCAGACTCAACTGAGTCTGTTCTGACACACTGTAATTACAGCATGGAGCAGCCTCCCTGCACGTGTATAGGCACCCTAAAACAATAAGTGAAACTCAAACTAAAATAAATTTATTTTTTAATTTTGTCATTTTAGAATACAAATACACCATACTATAGGTCAGAATCCTCTACAAATAAACCTCTGGTCTTACTCAATAAGAATTCTTTAAGTTAATAACAATGTATGAGTGATATAGCAGTGATGTTCCAGAAATTATATAAGAGGCAAGGATTTCTTAGGGTGGTATCTTTTATTGGACCAACTATGTAGCTGGGAAAAAATTAGATGAGCTTTTGAATGCAAGTCACTCTAAGTCACAACACAACTTTTTTAACTTTTTCTTATTGCCTAAAGTTTTCAGTAGGCTTTTCTATTAACATCTCCACATTTAAAAAACCCCCATTCATATCCCCCATGTTTTAAACTACTTACCCAAAACTGTGTATAAGCTTAGTATCAGAACAGAGTAGTAGAAGGTGTTTGTTTTGCTCAAGACGTGGAGGGAAAAGGAGGTCGACATTACTAATCCTGGAGGTCCTAAATGTAAAGAACATTTCAGAAAAATTAATTTACAGTACAGACAAAACATGCAAGATACTTGTCTAAAAAAAATCTACAAAATGTTTATTTAGAATATGTTACAAAAATGTTACAAATTAACATAATATTAAATATATTTGCAACTAAAACACATGGAAATAAACTGCTGCTATTGTTAATGTGGTAGCTGAGTGAAAACAAATTGTGCTGAAAGCACATCATTCAGGATGGAACTTAATTTGAAGAAACAATCTTTCATTTGAAACGTTATTTCTTTGACTTGGTTCAAAATGCGGTTATCACTTGATTGCCAAACAGCTGTTAGGAACACTAATCCAATGACAGAATTTTCTAGCACTAACCCACTAGTCTCTCCCCTATAAAACCTGGAAAAAAACCAAGAAAAAACTACTGCTGCAAGTGAACATACTTAACTCCAGGTGAATAAAATGGAGTGATTGTTGGAATACAGAGAAAATTAAGTTAATTAGAATGAAATGTGGGAGAACATTGGCCTTAAACTGAGACAAATGGCAAAATATTCAGAATAGTAAAAAATATATATAAATCCTAAGAGTGGGTCAATATAGACTAGGTTAATCAGAGGAAAGGCCAAAACGTGTATATTTTTTTTAGTGTTGGGTATTTGACTGGTCAAATAAAGTAAGGTCAACTGACTAATCAAATATCAGTCAAATTTGTAAAAAATTGCAAAAAGGTCCAAATAATACACAGTAAAAGCACAGATTTTCTGTTAAGAAATGTATCAAAAACAAATCATATTTCTGTCAATAAAACTACAAAAAAGTAGTTTTTTTGTAAAACTGCTATAATCTTTGGTCAATTGATTGGTCAACTGACAATACTTGACTGGTCAATTGACCAGCTTGCCAACCCTACCTTTTTTTTAAACTCTAGTCCATACTTGCTAGAATCTGATGGCAAAACCTGATGGGTAGGGAAGGCAGCTGGCTCCAGCATTTCCAGCATGTGGGGCATCTCTCCTGTGCTGCACAAATGCAGGGGCTGTGCATTCACGGTGGGGAGCACTGGCGCTAGGGACTGCCCAGCGGGGGCTGTGCTCCTCCCCATGATGTGCAGCACTGGCCGGAGCTGCATCCTGCTGGGCATGAGTGCCCTTGTCTGCTGTGGAGCCATGGGGGAGGGTGCAGGGGGTCCCCACACCCCCCACACTCTTTCATACCCACACCCTGCCCCCATAACCCCTCACATGTACACAACATACCTTATGTCCCCCCACGCAGCCACGCCCCCTTACAAATCTCTCTCATACACACACAATATACAAAACTACAAATTTATTTTTGAGTTATTATGCAAATCACCTCTATATACTGTATGCAAATACAAGTCATGACAAAAATATTTTTTGCAATAAAATTTAAATATGTCATGGTAGGTGTTTGACTTTTAGGTATGATTTTTTTTTTCTCGTTCTAAGATGGAAAGCCCCCTTCCCAAAAGGAGTATTTCCAGGGGGAAACGGGAGGGACTTCTGGTGGCAAAGGTTAGGGGGTGGGACTTCTGGTCCTAAGATGGTAACCAGGGGGCGGGGCAAATATCAAGGGGTGGGGCTACCCACATGGCCCTCGAAAGCTCACCAAACCTCCTTAAGCGGCCCTCTGCCCAAAATAATCACCTGCCCCTGCCCTAGAGTGCAGGACTGCCCTCATGAAATCAGCAGTTATCAGACCAATCTGTATAACATTTGTTGGTTGTCTGCCGAGACATGGCTGGTCAGAAGGTGCTAGCTCATTTCCAGGTGCTATGTTTTATGAAGATAGCTAAAAATACATTATTTTCCTACCTACGCAGTTGCTGTAGTTACCACAAGGATGCTACATGACCACGAATATAAAGAGAGGGCCTATGCACACATGAATGGAAAAGGAAGTGGTAACCACCTCTGTAAGATGTGCTCTAAACAATGTTTACAGGCTATGCTTCAGCAGCGTTAGTCTATCAATTCTTATTAAACAAAATTTACCACTCCACAAAATATTAAATTACAATAAAGGAAGAAGCATAAACCATACCATTCCTGTGGAAAACTGAAAGCCTAGCCATGTTGGATGAGTGCCCAAACCCATAAGAAAAGCTAACTGTGACAGAAGCAAATACTTGTGTGTTTTTTTGGGTTGTTTTTTTTTTTTGGGGGGGGGGGGGGCAGGGTTCTTTCCAATTAACAGCAATGACAAATTATTCTGTATCAACTACAATTAAATAGGCACAAAATAGTTTGCACTCTCTTTTCCTGTAAATAAAATGTTCCTGTAAGCAAACTGAGTTTAAGGCTTCTGTCAATGGGATTTTGTCTAAGCAAAGAATACAGAATCAATTTAACATATTAGATATTCTTTGGCCATTTTAGAAACAAACTGGCAGCTAGAAGGGATCAAATCAAGCTGGGAGGTACTATGTGCAAGGCTTTCATACTAAACTGCAACGTAATTATTAATGATTTTTTTTGGCACAAAGATGAAGGGGGGAAAATGAGTACTGATTAAAAAAAACAAAACAAATCCAGACAAAACACTGGTTCCTACCTTTCAGTGTTGGCTTTCGAAGATATCTGAAAACAAGGAGCAAGAAGATCTGAACCGCAACAGTCACTCCAAAAAGTAATCGAGCCTGAAAGCATACACTCTGTTATTCTCATGAAACGGAACTTAAAAATGACAGCCACTTCCTGGCAGATGAATGTAAATATCAAAAAAATGTGAGAAAAATAAAACCTTTTTTTAAATTAAAGTGTCCTGAGCTTCCTGATGCCTCATGTTAAACAGTGGCATTAAAAGGGGAACCTAAAGCAAGCCAATAAATCAGCTAGGTTCTGCCTTCTTCAAATGAGAAATACTTAAACCATGAAATCACCATTTACTGGGCTATTACATTTATAACAATGTGCATATTAATATATTTGTAATAAATGATCAACAATTACATTTCAGTATCTAAGCAAAATGGAAAATGAATTTTGCTGGCCACTTCATTAGGTTCCCAAGCTACTGGAATCACAAAATCTTCATTTCATTATGAGAAAGATCATCAATAAAGCACTTTAAAAAAAAAATCTGTACTTGAAAATAATGTCTCACAAAGAAACTTTTCTTACTGTATACATTCAGAATGCTGTGCTGAATAAAAGTAGTTTTAAATGACTATGGTAAACATCAGTTACAAATTAAAGAAACTAATGCAGGGCTTGAGCGTCAGTCACAATGCCACCTAACATGAGGCAAAATTCTTTCATAAGATTCTATCAATGCACTTTACTTATACAATGCCATCCTCTCATTTGCTGTAGTTCTGGTCTTTTTATAAGGGATAAAATGTCAAAACAGTTGAAGTCAATGAAAAAGTCAGTTGGGCCAGGGTTTCACGTTTCATCTCTGCTATAGGTAGGCATACTCTCAATGGCTGCTATGGAAATTACTTCTCTAAGTATAGTGCTCTTGCATTCTGTTTTCATTAGTTTTCTTTCATTTTGGTCTGAGCCTCCCTTTTGGGCAGACTACTTCAGTGGCTTCACTATCATTTTTTGTCCTTAAACAATACAAGCCTACTGTATGCACAAAACTTGCAAAAATTAGCTATGAACACAATTTTTTTTCATTTGTGTGTGCAATCTGTGCACTTACATGTATGATGAGTGGAACCTGGGAAAGGAAATTTGAAAGTATCCATGAAAGTTCTTATATGGATCTTGTATGGACAGCATGGTAACACTCAAATGTTAAAAAATATATTCAAAGCCACTGAATGTTAAAGAAATGGCTCCTGCACTCATTGGAGGAAGCAAATGGGTATGACAGCTATTTTGGCTGAAAGCACTCACCAAGATGTAATGGTCCATAAGGAGAATGAAAGAGGACAAGAAGCCAAATTTGAGAGAGAGATTTTCTCCCATAGCAAACATATGACCTTGAGTGCTACTCTTTCCAGCAGCATCCTAGATGTGAATAAAACAGAGAAGCAATTTGGCAAGTTGATCAATTTATCTAAGAAGTATCTTTCAAGTAAGTTACTTAAAACATCTGGTGAAGGCTCCAGGCTAACACTGCCAACTTCTCTGAAAAGCTCTAACTGGTATGTATGTACATAAACTAGCAAAGTTGCACAGTAGGGGCGTGCGAAGCGGGCCCTATTCAATTAGGATTCGGCCTAAATCAGGGACAGCGATTCGATTCGTTGATTCGGATCACGAATTCGGATCATGAATTCGATTTGATTTGGCCAAATCAAAATGTGAAGATTCGATGCTGATTTGGACATAGACACAGCTTTAAATGTTTTTTCTATGTACCTCGAGGTACCAGCGCAGCTGGTTAACGCTGTGATTCTGGGGCACATGGAGTGTCCCACAGGAGTGGAAGGGTCCCTCCATCTGCTTGGCAGCAAATTGGGGTCCACCAGGGAGCACACTGGGGCCCCCATGGGTCACGACCCAAAAGTGGGTTGCAAGAATATATGAAAGCATTGTGAACAAACTTTAAAAATGGATCAATGAACTTTAAAAAAATGATTCTCCTTTAACGGAGAAAAACATGGGAAACCATGGCTTTCCCTTGCAAGCTGGCAGAGTTCCAGCCTGCGAGGGGCAGCTTGGGCCCCCCCCCCCACACACACACACCCCGCCCCACACACTGTGGGGCCAGCACCTGGGGATGGGGGGCAGTGGGTTGGGAGTGAGGGGCAATGAGTTGGGACAGGTCATCGATGTTTACAAATGGGTCCTGGTACAAAAGAAGGTTACTGGTATAGTGTACACTGAGCAGACATGCTGAGCTTCACTGAGGTGACGCTATTGTGGTCCTCTAACAATGCAAACATGCTATTACTGTCCTTGTCTTGATGTGTTACAAAGAGGGGAATATTGCCTGTCTAGGTTACACATGGAGATGCAGAAATCTTTTCTAAATACTAGTGATGTCCGTGCACATATGTGTAGAGTGCTGCCAAGAGGGGAAACATTTCTCACAATGTCCTGCCCAAGAACATAATGTAAATGAAAGTCTGCCACTCTGAAATAGAAAGCATGCTATTGGTTAGACAAATCTTGAGAACAACATCAGACAATCTTATACAACTTCCTCATCTGCAAGACCATCAAAATTTAAACTGCTGTCCCTCATTATAAACTACCTTCCTTTTCATTGTCTGAAAACACATTTTTCCTCCATCCAAAATACTGGTAACACAGTTTGCCATGTTTAAGTGCCTCTTTTTTGAGGCAATCTGAAAATGGCACCTCTCAACTGTTACTTGAAAGGCTTTATTTACAATTATCAGGTCTTTCTTCACATCTAACATCATTATATTTTCAGGTTGAAGTCAAAATCCTGTTATTTATACATCCATTAGTGCTAGGTATTTCAGATTATTTTCACTAAATGTCTGTTGATTTCCTCCTCTGCTCCCTACCTTTTAGTTTTTCCTGCTAAAGACATGTGTTTAAATTAAATTAATTCCTAGTTTTACAAAGAAGTAGGTTGACAAATAAGACACTGCAGGTTAAAATAATGAACTGGTGACAACTTACCTGAACTGTCACATCTATGTGATGGAATCCTTCACTGTAGTTCTGGGAATTCCACTTCAGTACATAGAGAGGGCCAGACACATGATGGGCATCCCCCAGATGAACTCCATCTATACTGACTTTGACTGAAGTGATGAAAGCAGGAGAGAAGGCCAAAATTCTAAGTGAAAATAAACACGTTCATGATGGGACTTGAGGAAAGAGCTGCAATTACTCCTTGGAGAGAAACTACAAGGTTAAGCTTCCTAATACGTACCAGTTAACAGGAGTAAAGATGAAAATACCAGAGTTTTTGTAGGCAATTAAGATGCTAGGACTTAAGTTTAATTTATAACAGGGGTAAGATTAACTTCCTCCGTATCTGTATCTCCTAAGGATATAGATCCAGAACAACTAAAAGTGGAACAGCCTTTGCTGTACCCAAAGGATCCTGGTGAGCACCCCTGATAAATTTATAGGCAGCCACCAAATCACCCCTGAGCCTGCGCTTTTGTAGGCTGAAGAGTCCCATAGCTCACAGCCTCTCATCATAAGGTCTGTTTTCCTGACTTCTGATCACGCATGTGGCTCTCCTTTGGTCTCTCTCAAGCTTCTCCACATCCTTTTTGAATTGTGGAGCCCAAAACTGGACACAGTACTCTAGCTGCAGCCTCACCAAGGCTGAGTACAATGGGAGAATGACATCCTGAGATTTGTTTGAGAAGCATCTGCGGATGCAAGCCAGCGTTTTGCTTGCTTTACTAGCCACAGCATCACATTGAAGGCTCATATTCATCTTGTGGTCAATCATGACCCCCAAGTCCCTTTCGTCCATAGTGCTAGCCAGCGTAGCACTGCTGAGCCTATAAGCATGCTGCGGGTTCTTCTTCCCAAGGCGGAGAACCTTGTATTTTTCGGTGTTAAACACCATCAGGTTCTCGTCCGCCCATTTCTTGAACCTGTCAAGGTCATCCTGGATCACCCTCCTGTCCTCAGGTGTGGCTGCTTTACCCCAAAGTTTGGTGTCATTGGCGAACATGGCCAGTCCGCTTCTGATACCAATGTCCACATCATTAATGAAGATGTTGAATACTATAGGCCCAAGGACAGAGCCTTGAGGAACTCCACTGGTCACAGCACACCATGACGATTGACTTCCATTAACCACAACCCTCTAGGTCTGGCCACGGAGCCAATTCCCCAGCCAGCAGATCGTGGTGAAGCCGAGGCTGCAGTTGGCCAGCTTTGTTATGAGGTGATCATGGGATACCAGATCAAAGGCTTTTTTGAAGTCAAGATATATGACATCAATCTCTTCTCTCTTGTCCAGATGATA